ATCGGCAGGCGGACTCTCAACCACCGCGCCACCAGGGAAGCCCCTCCATGGTCTTTTAACTGAGATCACACACCTGGTTTCAAGACTTAGTGAAGCTCAGGTTCTTGATGTCTCATTGCAGAAAGAATTCAGTGAGAGACACAGTGATAGGTAAGAAGCAGATTTATTTAGAGAGAAACACACTCCACAGAGAGAGTGTGGGCCATCTCAGAAGGTGAGAAAATCACCAGGATCTGGGGTTGTCAGTTTTTATAGGGGTGGGTAATTTCATAGGCTAATGAGTGGGAGGAATATTCCAGCTAATTTGGGGAAGGGGCAGGGATTTCCAGGAATGGGACCACCACCTACTTTTTGACCCCTATGGTCAGCCTTGGAACTGTCAAGACGCCTGCAGGTGTGTCATTTAGCTGACTTGTTACAAAGAACGTATGCTAAGGCTTAAGGTCTAGTGGAGGCGGACTCCTCCATCACCTTGGACCTATTTGGTTCTAATTAGTTTATGTCGTGTCCTCGGGCTATGCCATTCTTTTAAAGGTTGTGCCCTGCCCCCTTCCCTCTTTTTCAGCGGGGTGGAGGATGCATGAGGAAGGCTGTGTTCCAGGCTGCAGGTCAGGGCTGGTCCCTCTGGGGCGCCACCCTCTGAAGCAGGCAGGGAGATGGCCCGGGGGGGGGGGGGGGGGGCGGGGCAGAAGTCAGGCCATGGGGACCTCACTGTCACAATTGTCGTTTCACCCTCCCGCCAAAGCACAGCCCCTTCTCCTAAGTAATCTAAAGCACTCGCGGTGCACTTTTCCGGATTTATGGAGCAGAAGCACTTGTAAGAGCGCCGGCCACTGGTACTCCCGGCAGAGAAGGGCTCGGTGGGGCCTGGCAACCGTGGACCCCGCCTGGGGCATGGAAGACTTCAGCAGAGAGATGTGTCAGGAAAGATGATGTTTTGGAGGAAACAGTGTATGTTAGATCATCTTCTAAGGAAAAAGAGAAAATCCGATCTCCAAAACATGGTTTGATGCAGCCCAGTTTCCTAAAAATTGCTGTTGGGAAGGCTTTGCCGTGGCATTCATTTCAGGCTGATCAACACAAAAGATGCTTTTGAGAATTTTCTTTGAAGTTGCACCCTGACTTCCGGGGACCAGGTTTGAAACTGATGGAATAATCCTGCCCACGTGAGGCCACCACCTTCCCCCCTCATTCCCCTCCCCCTCCACACCTAGGTCAGGCTGCAAGGAGGGTCCCTAATTACTGGCCCAGGAAAGGCATTTTCTTTTAGAGATTTGCTCTTGGGCAAAAGACGACAGCACATCCAATGCAGAAGGACCAACAATTCCATCTGTTCAATTTGCAAAGAAAAGCAGTATTTTGTCAGCTCTCACCAGGGGAAGCTGAGAGTTTATGCCTCTTATAAATTTACCAATTTCTGGTTAAATTTCCCAGAGGTGCTTGTGAACACACTTGAGACTCAAGCTGAAAGAGTCACATTCAGCTA